ACTCCCCTTCCAGCCCTCAGCGCGGACTCAGCCCTGCCCACCCTCCGGGTGTCCTCGCGTGACACTTCCATGGTCACTCTTAACCCTTACTACTGGACGCCTGCGTATGCCTGGCGCTGGACCGAGAGCTCTCTCGCCTTGTCTCAGTGGCCCCTCGGCGGTGGGCAGTACCGCTGTGTCCTTTCTGCAGAAAGTAACCGGGGTAACTCAGAGAAAGGCCGGGGACCCAGCTCTGCCTGCCCTGGGCCCCACGTGGCCTTCATAGCTGGAGATTCAGTGTATCCTCTGGGGCTGTCGTCACAGCTGTGGCGCATGGTAAGAGAGCCATTAACCTGTCCCAGAGCCTCCAGCTAGTGCCGTGAGTGACCACCACCCACCGCGGCCAGTGCATGTGTCCAGGGATGGTTTGGCTGTCCCCGCTTTATAGAGGAGGGAAGGAACCTGCCCACGTGCTCCCAGTAACAGCTCCCATTAATGGCAGCGAGAAGGGCCAGCCTTTACTGAGGGCTTACTGTGCGCTAGGCCGTAAGTATAGTAACTTCAGATGCTCTTGAGCACAAAGAGGTAGGTGCCTCGCCCCAGGCGGCCCGGCCCAGGAGCAGAGGCTTTGAGCCCAGCAGCCCGGCCCCAGCTGGCACCACATGCCCTGGGCTCAGCACCTGGCCTCCCTGGCCATTCACCTGGCCTCTTCTCGGGGTGCCTCGCAGAGTCCCTTCTCCCCTGACCAGCCATGCTCTGCTTCTCTCCCCGCTCGCCTTTCCTCAGCGTTCTGCCTCCGAGACAAAACCGCTTCTCCTCCTACAGCCCCCGCCCGCTCGCCCGCCCGCGCCTCTCTCTCTGCCTGTGCCTTCCACGCAGGCGACGGCGCCAGCCAGGGACGGCGGAGAGGCGCGGGCTGGCATTCTGTCAAGGAATTAATTGAAAAATAAAATCATTAGATGGGAACTCCAGAAATGCAAAGTGGTGGTTGGAGGTGGGGGGGTGGGGGCAGGACTGGGGGGTTGTTGGGGGCCGGCTGAGCTTTTTGTCAAGTTAATTTCTCGGGTATTGATGTTGGGCGACATTCACTTGTTGTTTATCTTCGGGTGCAGCTGTAATACTGAAGGAAAACGCACAGCTTGTTTCGTGTATTTATTTTACACCTTTCTCCGTCTGCATTATGTTTGTTTGGTGAAAACCCACTGAGGCTTTTGATGTCGGGGGGACGTGGGATTTCAGCAGCTGTTCCCTGCAAGCAGGGTGCTCCACGTGCAGGCATGGTGTCGGGAGGTAAAGGGGGGCACCCGAGTGTCATTTGGTGGGAATTCGGGGCCCACCGTGTTCTCTGGCCGGGGGCATTTGGGGGCCCAACCCGAGCCAGATGCCCCGGGCCCACGAGAACGGTGATGGCATACCAGGTAGGATCTCAGATGACCCTGAAAATCCTCACGGTCGCCCCTGGAGACACGTCCTGTTTGCGTCCCCAGTGGTTAAACCCAGAGAGCAGAAGTGACTTGCCCAAGGTCACTGAGCCATTAAATGGCAGAACTGGTACTAACTCCAAGGCTGTGGAGTTAGCCAGTCGCCAACCTGTCTTCCATATCCTTCGCCCCGTAGCAGTCGGTGGGGACCCCTGTGCCTCCGTTTTCCAGACTGGTGGTGGGGGGAGCGGTCATGCCTCCTTTGGCCCTGATGTACTAGCTTTCCAATGACAGTCCCCACCCAGTTGGCACTCATTGGCCCGATGGCAGAGACATGTTAAGTCAATACCTCTCATAGGAGTAGTATTAAAGATGTCACCATCCATGGGGCCCTCACCATACCAGGTAGTAATAGTGCCCCCATTTCACAGCTAAGGAAGCTGAGGCACAGAGGGGCTAAGTCTGCTGCTCCCCGCTAGCCAGTGGGTTGTGGTGTCAGCACCCGCGTTCCCGCGCGGTTATGATGAGTGCTGAGAAGCAGGGGTGCTCTGAGAGGCTTTCGCAGGAAGGGGAACCCGTCACCAGCTCCAGACAGCCAGGGAAGGCCCATGGGTCAGCAGAGGGTGGCTGCAGCAGAGGGAAAGTGTGGAGGGACTGCCCTGTCCCCCATTCTATATGTTATTAGAGAATGAGTCATGGACAGGGCGTCTGCCCGGAGGTCACACAGCTGAGGACGCGCCAAAGTGTGTCTCCTCCTAAAGCCAGACACGGTGACCACTTGCTTTGCGGCAAGGTCCTATATGACCTTGGTTGTGCCACACCCCACCCTCAAGCAGAGCCTCTCAGGAGACGCCACGTGGTGCAACAGCCAGCGGGTATGGGTTTCAGATTGCACACACTGAGGCTTCTGCGTGTTAACTGTGTGTGGGTGTCTCTCTGCGCCTTTGTCTTCTGTGAAATGGGGGTGATGGCGCCCCACCCAAAGGGACACTTAATGGAACTCAGGTGAGATGCTGTGTGTAAAGTGCCCACCTGTGCGTGTTTTCTCTTCCTGCTGCACCTCTCCTCCCTCTGGGCCTCAGTTTCCCCAACCAGGGGGCATCTCGCATGTCTCCCAGCTCTGCCACTCGTTTTTTTTTTTTTTTTAATTGCTATCCTGACATTAGCAGTTTTATTTGTTAAGAAGTACCCACCTTGTAGTCATTCATTCTTTCTTTCTTGCACTCGACAAATGATCACAGAGCACCTACTACGTGCTGGACCCTGGGACGCAGCCACCAATAAGACAGGCGCAGCCCCCGCCCGCACCGCCACCCCCATTGTTAGTAGCTGGGAAGGGGATGTCAGTGACAAGCCCGCAGGCCCTATTTTGCTGTCCTTCTATTTCCCGGCTCCTATTACCTGCCCACAAATTCAATTTCCAGAAGCCATTGTGCACCTCCAGGGCCAGGCGATTATGAGGAAACCAAGAATGTCCAGGAGGCAGCAGGAAAGGAAGCGGGCGTCTGAGCCGCGGGCGGCCGCCCCTGCCCCCCACCCATCCTGTCCCCTTTCTTTTCATGATTAACAATGATGGATTCAGCTGCCAGGCCTTGAGGCTCCCTGAGCAGCCGGGGAGAGGGGGAGTCTCCACACCTTCCTCCCCCTCGCCGAGGGGGCAGCTCGCCATGTCCCCCCTTCCCACTTGATGCGCTCGTCCCCTCATTCGGCAGATATTAATGGGCCCCCACCAGGTGCCAGGCAGTGTGCTAAGGCCGGGGACACAGAGTGGAGGGGACAGTACCCCACACAAATGCCCCTGTGGGGAGAGGTGCCGAGAGGCACTGAGGGAGGGTTGGGGTCCTGTTTTAGACAATGGTCAGGAGAGCCCTCCCTCAGGAGGCGACAGGGAGCTGGGGCTTGAACGAAGGAGGGTCTGGGGCGAGGTGGGAACGCGCTTCGTGAGCCTGGAGGGGGAGCCAGCTCCAGCGAAGCCCTCCGGAGGGCCTGAGGTGTCCCTCTCTGTGCTGCGCAAAGCCATGGAGCTTTGGGACCCTGGACGGTTTGTTCTAGAAGGATCCCCAAGGCTGCTGTGTAGAGAATTGGCGTTGTCCGGGTGGATGAGGGTGAGGGCAGGTGCAGGGAGTCAGAGGAGGAGGGGAAAGTGCTCCGATCGGACAGGTAGCCGTGGACATGAGAAGGGTCAGTGTCTGGCTCGGTTCTGGAGGGATGTAGTGAAAAAGTAGGCTCCAAGAGACCAAGTCCCTTGCCCAGGACCACTTAGAAGAGACCCGAGAGTCTTTCTCCACCTCTGGGACAAGCACTGGGCCGGGCTCTGCAGGGACTCCGGCGAGAGACGTGCCCGCAGGGAGCTCCCAGCGCAGTGGGGAGATGGAGGCACAGGGTCCCGGGGGCGATCTGTAACATCTGGAAGGCTTCTCAGAGGAGGCGGCGTTTGAGCCAGGAAGGAGAAGGGATTGGGACAGGCTGTCTGCAGCTGCCTCTGTACCAATCAGGTGTTATCTGTGAGTGAGGCTGACCACGAATGAGTGGTTAGACCAGCAGAGGGCCTGACCCGGCCGGCCAGCCTCGAGCCCAGCTCTCTGACGCCGTTCCCTTCCTGGAGGGTCAAGGGAACCGGCGCATTTTCTCCTGCCACCCTTTGTCTCCCCGGCGTTCCCTGACCAGCACCAGAGACGTGTGTGAAAAGTGGAAAGACTGTAGACTTCGGCATGGCTTGGGTTCGTGTCCTGGCTTTGCTGCTTTCTAGCTGAGTGACCTTAGCCTTACCTGTCCGTGGCTCAGTTCCCTCACCTGGAAGAGGCAGTAGTGATACCCGCCCGTAGGATTGTCGAGAGGAGCACATAGCACATAGTAGGTACTCGGTCTGCAGCGTGCGGGGCCCAGAGGGCGTGTGTTTTGCTGAGCCCACCTGCCTGTCCCTGCTGGCCTCCCCTCCCGTCCCTCCTCACAGAGAACTCTTCTACATCCTTCAAAGCCCAAATCAAACGGCCCCCCTCTCGAGGCCACCTCCAGCTGTCACTCCCTCCATGCCTCCTGTGGAATCCAGAGCATCTGTGCACAGCATTTATTGAGCACCTGCTGTATGCCGGCCACCTACTGTATGGTTCAGAGGCCGCGACCTCTAGGAAAACAGAGGTCCCTGTGCCACGCCCGGGCTCCCCTCGGCCTCGCTGGGGGTTGTCCGCCCCCACCCCAGGCGGGCAGAGCCTCCTCGGAGCTGCCGAGAGGGCCCTTCCTCTCTCCTTCCCTCTGTGGGTGGGAGGTGGAGACGGGGCGGCCGACAGAGCACCAGGGTTTCTGAGGCCCAGAGGGAGGCAGCGCCCAGGGCGAAGCTGGAGACTAACCTGCAGTCTATCTGTCCGTCTGTCTGTCTGTCTCTCCCCGCTTCCCCCGGCCTCCTCTCTCTCGCCGCCTCCCGTGCTCTCTCTCCCGTTTCTCTTCTCATTTCTCGTCTCTCTCGCCACTTCCCGTGGTGGTTCTCTCGGCCCCCGCCCTCCATTTTGCTCTCCCCTCCCCCTCCCTCTCTGCCATCTCTCTTCCTGCCTCCAACCCTCTGGGCTGTTCTTTTCTCCTCTCTTGCCATCTGGGCTCCCACAGAGCCCCCGAAGAAAAAGCGGTCTGTGGTGTTGGACGAGATCCTGGAGCAGCTGGAAGACAGTGGAAGCGACAGTGAAGAGCGAGCCCCTCAGCTGCGAGCTGGCGCCGAGAGGGTACGTGGCTCCAGGGCCCCGGGGACGGGGGCAGCCGCCCTGGCTCCGTGCTCCCTCCCCTGTGGGCCGCAGGGGGAGGGGCGCTGCGTGGCGGGTGAGGGTGACAGCGGCAGGCGGCCCCACCCTCCTCTGGTCCAAGGTCAGAGGGGACGATGGCCACAGTCCACCGCCCGGAGCCCAGGATCCTGGGTGCAGACGCCTGCTCTGTGCCTACATGGGACAGAGAGCAGGCTGGCGTGGCCACTTTAGAAAGTCCCTCCTGGTGGCGCGGGGACCTGGGGGCAGCAGGAACAAACCAGCCCTCCCCTCTAGCCTTGGCCGTTTGCTGCTCCCACATGAGGTCTCCCACTCACCGCTCCTCCCAGCAGCCCTGAAACAGGACGGGGCCCCTCCTGCTGGGAGGAAAGTCAGAGTCCAGAGGGGTTCCAAGTCCGCACCAGGGTGCACAGCACATGGGAGCGAGGACCCTCGTACCCCACTGCCCCAGACCCAGGAGCTACTATAGCACCAGGGGCCGAAAGCAGCTCCCTGGAGTCAGACTGCCTGGGTGTGAAGCCTATTCCTCCCAGCCCGGGCTGGGGCCCCCAGCCTCAAATACCTGACCTCCCTGGGCTCGGCCTCCTCCTTGTTGTCTGGTTCCCACCTCACAGGCTTTAGTGAGAAAGGGAAAAACAGCAATAATGTGTGAAGAACACCTGGCATGGCGCCGAGCGCGTGAGTCAGGCTCCAGAAGCTTCCATTTCTGCTCTCCCCGCCAGGGCTGCTGAGCTGGAGTTCCCGCCTGCGTCTGTCCAAGGGCCTGCTCACGTCTTGGGACTTGTCTCTTCCTACCCTGTCCTCGTTGCTTGGGACCGCAAACCCTGGTCTAGTCACCGGAGGATCCTCCAACCCGGCTGACCTCAGGACAAGCCTGCGAGCTGCTCATGAAGCCCGAACTCTCGGCTCAGACACCAGCCTCACTGGCTGAGCCTGGCCGTGTCCCTAATGGCAGTCACCCTCTGCTCACGAGCTGGGGGCCTCTCGGCTCAGACACCAGCCTCACTGGCTGAGCCTAATGGCAGTCACTCTCTGCTCACAAAGTGCATCCAGGTCCAGCAAAGTGCATCCAGGTCCCCAGCCCTGGCAAGCGAAGTCCCAAGGTGCATCCCAGGCTTGGGGGACCCACGTGCGCACACCTACTCCATCCCGGAGATTTGGCCTCCCCACCAGACGGCCTGTGCCCAACACGCGCCAGGAGGCAGGACGATGGAGAGGAAGGAGCAGCCTAGGTGACCTGGGTCTGAACCCTGGCCTAGCCATCCCCAGCTGTGCAGCCTCAACTTTGGACCAGCGAGGTCTCCTCTGACCCTCAGCTTCTCTTTCTATAAAACGGGCGTGATCCTGTGCCTACCTCAGAGATGGCGCTTGGACTAAATCAGTCGGTGTCCATCAGCGTTTTCATTTCTTAATTTGGGTCCTTCGGGTAGGCCTGCAAGCAGGAGTCCAGGAACCTTCTGTCTTTGTGGTAAAACTTGGCCTGTGCACCTTGGGCCTTCCATTCTTCAGTTTTCAGAGCAGCCGGGGACCCAAGCCAGGCTCCACGGCAGGCTCCACGGCACTGGCTGCTCCGTAAGGCCAAGCGTCCTCCCAGTGTCCTGTGGGGCAGGCAGGTCCTTGTCAGCCCTGGCTCATCACCGAGAACTAAAGGAAACAAAGGCCGCGCCCCCTGCTGGCTCATCCCAGCTTTCACAGCAGGGTGCCCCACACACAGCAGGTGACCACAGCCTTCTGGGTGGGGGGAGGGCTGCGGGGGGTCAGTGTTAAACATGGCCAAGGCAGACCCTCGGGTGACCAGGCTCCCAAGTTGCCAGGTCTCAGGATAGCAGGGCCGGTGTCCACCCCATTCCCCCCACTGCCACTGCTCAGTTAGGGGGACGTGGGTCTTTCCAGTTACGTATGCAGCTGACCGTTTGAGGCAGCAGTTATTTTCAGAGGGAAAGGGACAGGGCTCAGGATCACCGAGATGCTTGCTCATATTCCAGGCTGTCCCCTGCACTAAGTGCTGTGACTGAAAGGGACAGGGACGTCACAGACAAGGACGAGGGGGTGGGGGCTGGGCATGGGAGAGGAGCCGACTGTGGCTATTGTCATCTTTACTATTATCATCATCATTACTCTGGAGTGAAGTAAAGTACAGCGAGGTAATAAACTAGGTGATTACTGGCCTGGCCCGGAGGAGGCGCTCCAGCTCTCCCTCGGGGAAGAGGGTCGCCGAGAAAGCATCTTAGGAGACGTGCATCCATCCAGTGTATGCAGGGTGGACTGGGGGGTCCCCGGGTGGCGATAGTCACTGCTGTCATCAGGGAGGTGGCTTCAGTTGAGTCGGAAGCGATGGGACGTCAGGGGTCCAAGCAACCAGAACATGTGGGAGAGAAATTCTAGAAGTAAAGCACGGAGGGAGCCGCTGAGGACGGCGTGCCACCCGGGGGCAGGGGAGAGGCTCCCCCACTTCTCAGGGGCCCGCCACCTCTGCATGGTCGGGACAGAGCCAGGAAGAGACTGATGGAGGCCGGACTGGGCCAGGCGGCGGGAGGGGAGAGGCGGGAATCGGCAGGGACACCGTGGGCGGGAGCAGAGCTTGGGTGGCAGGGGAGAACTGTGGCAGGCTGTTTCCAGAGCTGGGGCCGGGCCCCACCTGTCCAGCCCATGGCCATCCCTGCCACCCACCGCAACCCTCGCAGGTCCAGTTTCCCAGGCTCCCCACCAACAGGCTTCCCATCGGGTTTGGCCAGGGGCAGGCACCAGCGGGCGTCTGGGCTGCGGAGGAGAGAAGCCAGGGCATTCGTCCCCCTCCCTCTGTCCTGTGTGGCGTCTCCACCAGGGGTCCAGCCCTGGGCTTTGGTAGCACCAGCCCCCCGCCCCGAGGCCCTGGGGTGCTGTCGCCCACTGGCGCCTGGCCGTCTGCTCTTCCAACTCATCCGTAACAGCTCCCTGCCTTAAATCCCCTCCGTGGAAATGCCCGACAGGTGCAGCGAGGATGCGGGGAGCCAGCGAGGCCTGCTGCCGGGGGTGGCAGCAAGGAGGCCAGGTGGTGGCCTCGTGGAGGGACAGAACGCAGAGTTGGGAGGCACGAGTTTGGTTGGTTTGGGCGCGTGGGGCTCCAGAAGGCTGGGCGGGTGGAGTCCCGGGGAACTGCAGAAGCTTGGTGGCCTGGGGGTGAGCCAGCTCGTGAGGCCCTGAGGAGCCCTGAAGGGTGGGACAGCGTGCAGGAGGAGGGGCTGGGCTTAGGGAAGGAGCAGAGGCTACTGAGGCCCCTGGGCCCGGTGGGGGACAGTGCTGTACAGACACCCCTGGACGGGCGAGGGGACCATGCACAGTCAGCCTGCAGGAGGGCAGAGATGAGTGACGGGCACAGCAGCAGGAGGGGCGGCAGGAGGAGAGCCAGGGGACGGGCCCTGGCTCCAGGAAGGCCTGAGCTAGGGTTTCAGCTCCACCACCCTCTGTGCCCTGCAGCCAGGGTCTCGGCGTCTCCTGCCTCGATTTCCGTACCTTTAAAATGGGGACAAGAAGAATTCCTGCCTCGGGGATTTTTTAGATTATGGGTGGGGAGCACTCTGAGCGGACTGTTCCATGCCTAGTGACCGCTAAATAAATGGTTATTATTATTGTTGCTGTTATTATTATTCGACAAAGCCAAGAACTCGTGGGGCTTCACCCAGCAACTGTCCGAGGAGGTCCAAACACGGTGTGTGTCCAGCAGGCCTGCTGGGACACATCGGGGGCGTGGGGCAGCAGTGGGAGTTGCCGGGAGGTGGGGCCTGGTGGGAGGGAGTCCGCACATCCAGAAAGGTGGCCTGGAGGGGCACCCTCTGCCCGCCAGGCCCGAGCAGGCCGAGTGGGCACACCGTTCACCTCGTTCGTCCTTGCGCAAAGCCAAGGCCAGGCCCAAGCTCGGCCGGTGGTTGCCGCAGACAAGCGAGCCCTTCCCCCACTGTCGCTGTGTCTGTTCCTAACCCTTTCCATCCCGGGGTCTCCCACAGGGGACATGCCATCGCCACAGGAGTCTAAGCCAGACTGGAGCCCTGGGTCAGCGCTTCTAGGCCGGTCCACAGACTGACGCAGCCTAAGGAAGGACCTCAGCGGCACCTGGCCGTCCCAGGCCCGCAGCTGAGGGGACACCTGTGTGCACCGTGGAGGCTGGGCCAGGCCCAGAGGCCTGCCTGTCCACTGCTGGGGAACGTGAGCGGGGGTCTCCCGGCCGGCTTGCCCACTTGGAGTGAGCCCGAGTTCCCTCGGAACCACCTTGACTCGAGGGGAGCACCAGGTACTTCGTGGCTTCTTGGGAAGGAGAAGCAGAAAAGGCACAGGCCAGAGGCAGAGGCTGACAGAGCGAGTCCTCAAACCCAGCTGGCTAACCCCCACCCCATTCGTTCATTCATTCATTCATCAAATACCTAGTAGGCACCGCGTGTGGG